TTTTGTGTGGCTCAAATGTTACTTGCCGCTTGTCAAGTATCATCCAGATCTTCTTGCATTTGAACATGGATTGCTTCAGTATCTGAAGAAATGTGAATGGCACTGGACATTGTGAAATCATGAGTGAGCATCCCCACTTCTGATCTTTATGATGGAGGGAAGATCATTGATGAAGCAGCTGAAGGTAATTGGGCCTAGGAACTACCTTGAGGAACTAGGTGGCCCTCTTGTGGCACAGTGGTAGTGTTTATACCCCTGGTCCCACCTGCTCCAGAGGTGTGTAATAACTCTGTGAACAGGTTGATTAGAAAAATAGGTTAAAAAAAAACAAAAACCCTGAGGAGCTCTGCAGAGATGTCCTGGAGCTGAGGTGACTGATGTCCAACAAACACACCCATCTTCATATGTGTCAGGTATGACTCAACCACCGGAGAGTTTGCCCCCGATATCCATTGATTCTAGTTTTGCTTAGGGCTTCTTGATACTGCAATTGGTCGAATGCAGCCCTGATGTCAAGGGCTGCCACTCTCAGCTCACTTCTGGAATTCAGCTCTTTTGTCCATGTTTGAACTGAGGCTGTAATGTGGTCAGGGGCTGAGTGGCCCTGGCGGAACTCAAACTGGGCGTCACTGAGCAGGTTATTGCAGAGCAGGTGCTGCTTGATAGCACTGTTGATGACACCTTCCATCACTTTACTGATGATCGAGATTAGACTGATGGGGCCATAATTGGCTGGATTGGATTTTTGTGTACAGGACATACTTGGGCAATTTTCCACATTGTTGGATAGATGCCACTGTTATAATTTTACTAGAAGAGTATGACTAGGTGAGTGGCAATTTCTGGAGCATACGTCTTCAGTATTAATGCCAGAATGTTGTTAGAGCCTGTAGCCTTTGCAGTATCCATGGTGGCGTGAATCAAATTGGCTAAAGACTGGTATCTGTAATGAGAACCACTGGAGCAGGCCAAAATGGATTATCAACTTGGCACTTCAACCAGAAGTTTGCTGTGATTGCTTTAGTGTTATCTTTTGCACTGATGTATTGGGCTCTTCTATCATTGAGGATGTGGAGTTGCTCATCCAGGAAATTGTTTAATTGTCCATCACCATTCACGACTGGATGTAACAGGACTGCAGATCTCAGATTTGATCTGTTGATGGTGGGCTCAGTTAGCTGTGTCTATCATTTGCTGCTTATGTGGTTTGGCATGCCAGTAGTCCTGTTGTGTAACTTCAACAGGTTGACACCTCATTTTTAGGTATGCCTGATGCTGCTCCTTGCATGCCCTCCTGCACTTTCCATTGAAGTAGGGTTGATCCCCTGGCTTGATGGTAGTGGTTGAATGGGGATACGCTGGGCCATGAGTTTGCACATTGTGCTGGAGTGCAATTATGCAGCTGTTGATTGCCCACAGTGCCTCGTGGATTCTCAGTCTTGAGTTGCTAGATCAGTTTCAAGTCTGTCTCATTTAGCACAGTGATAGTGTCACCTTACACATTGGGGGGTATTCTCAATGTGAAGACAGGATGCGGTCTCCACAAGGATTGTGTAGCAGTCAGTCTTATCGATGCTGACATGGAGAAATGCGTCTGCGGCTGGCAAATTGGTATGGATGAGATCAAGTATGTTTTTCACTATGATGGTTCCCTCACCATCTGCCGCAGACCCAGTTGAAAAGTTATCTCCTTTAGGACCCGACCAGCTTTATCAGCAGTGTTGAAATTCCCCCACCCAGAGTAGATATTGTTCTCTTGCTATCCTCAATGCTTCCTCCAAGTGTTGCTGAACATGGAGGAATGCTGATACATCAGCAGAGGGAGCTATGTGGTAATCAGCAGGAAGTTTTCTTGCCCATTTTAACTGGAAGTCATAAGACTTCATTCTGTATTCCACTTTTCTGTCACCTCTGCTGTTTTTGTTCTGCCGGTGGGACAGGTCATAGTCAGGGATGCTGATGGTGGCGTCTGGGACATTGGCTGTGAGGTATGATTCTCTGACTATGACTATGTCAGGCTGTTGCTTGATTAGCCAATGAGACAGCTCTCCCAATTTGACACTAACCCCCAGATGCTAGTAAGCGGAACTTTATATAGTCAACAGGGCTATTCATGCCTTTGTCTTTTCTGGTGCCTAGGTTGATGCCAAATAGTCTGCCAATTTCATTTCTATGTTGAGACTTCAAACCAATTGATACAACTGAGTGGCTTGCCAAGCCATTTCAGAGGGCAGTTGAGGATCAACCACATTGCTATGGGCCAGGACTCAAATGTAGGCCAGAACAAGTGAGAATGGCAGATTTCCTTCTCTGAAGGACATCAATGGATTCCTAATTCCAGATTTCTTTTAATTGAATTTGGATTCCACCATCTTACTGTGGTGGGATTCAAACTGAGTCAGTTCCCAGAGCATTAGCTGAGTTTCTGGTTTAATCTTTGTGCAGTGTGTTCTTTGAAGTTCTGCTAAGGGAGAGTTCTAGAGTTGCTCTCTTATACATTTTTTCTGTCCTTCAGGTCTAGGGGTGACACATTGATAATCTTGAGGATTTTTTCATCCAAAATATTGCAAGTCTGCAGCTTGCCTTCATTTCAGAAATAGCTTCCCGGTTCCTTGTTATGTTTGGCATTGACTGTCTGAAGACATAGTTTTCCTGTGATTAACTCCTCAAATTCTTCTATAGGGCAATCAGTTCTCCCCATGGTATAAAGCAGCGGGTTATCAAGCAGATGTCAAAACAGTCTTATTCATGTAGCTTTGATTCCTACTTCCCCTAGTCATTGCTAGTTGCTTTCGATTCCTACATAAGTTTGTCCTCGTCCCTTAATTGTTTATTCCAAACAGAGTTATTGCTGATCCCTTTGTGTGTAATAGTTTGTCTTTATTGAATCTTTCAATCTATGAACAGTTATTAAAGTTTTGAAGTTTACACTATCACAGAGCATTGATTTTCAGCTTATTCTTAATTAAGCTGCTCTTGCACTGAAACCATTGAAATAAATCTGCTTTAGGGCTGGCTACTGCTTAACTTAAAATTTCAGTTTAATGCTAACTACAAGCTACAAACTAAATTAGGTTTGTGTAAAATAAAAATTAGACTTTCTTATCACCGTTTGCATACTCCGGCTGCCACAGTGTTAAGTGTTTGATCTTCCTTCACAGAAAGTTTTTTTTAAAATCAACAACTTTTTGATGTTTTTCTGTTAAATGTAAAGAATAATAACTTGCAAAGTCATTCAAGTACTTGAGGGATGGCCTGGTATAGATGTAGAAAGCAAATAAAAACTGTGATGAAAACCGAAAAAGCTGTGGATGCTGTATAATCAGAAATAAAAACAGAAATTGCTGGAAAAGCTCAGCAAGTCTGGCAACATCTGCGAAGAGAAATCAGAGTTAACGTTTCGGGTCCAGTAACCCTTCCTCAGAACTTCCTCCCGTTCTGAGGAAGGGTCACCAGACCCGAAACGTTATCTCCGATTTCTCTTCACAAATGTTGCCAGACTTGCTGAGCTTTTCCAGCAATTTCTGTTTCTGTAAAAAATTTTGATATATCCATATCAAACACCTTCTCCTCAATAGTCAAAATGAAAGGTAGGCCTTCGTCCTTTCTGGAAAATCAAAAAGAAATTTATGGTCAGAATAAGTGACTAGTTTTAATAGTGTGATGTGTGGTGTGTTGCTTTTCGGCGGCTGATCACATTGAGTCCTTCCAGTTTTCCAGAAAAGAAACTTAGTTACTGAATGCATTTTTGTTTTCAACAAAAAGAACAAATTTCAACAAAAACATTTTTTGCAGAAATATTATAGTTAAATATATTACTTTGAATGAGGAGTGGGTTCCCAAAATGTTAATGTACCAATGTTGCTTAGCAGTTGTATTAGTCAGATTCCTAACAAATTGATGTGACACTCTTACCCGATGAGCTCTCTCGTGGAAAATAATGAGATTGTCGCAGGTCAACAAATCCTACTCTAGGAAGTTTTCAAAGCAGAAAGTCTTGTATTCATTATGAAACAAGAAAATATTATTTCTACCATTCAGTTTTAATTATGGCTTGATTGTATCACCCTAATTTTTTTAGGATCGTTCATGCTGTGCAGGTGCTAGTCTAAAACTGGCATTTAAATTTTTAGATAAAAACTGAAAGAAGAGCAAATGCTGTAAGTCAGAAACAAAAACAGAATTTGCTGGAAAAGTTAAGCTGGCCTGGAAGCATTTGTGAAGAAAAAAACCAGAGTTAATGTTTCGGGTCTGATGACCCTTCCTTGGAACTGAGTTCTGAGCCAGACTGCTGAGCTCCGAACTCAGTTCTGAGGAAGGGTCATCAGACCTGAAACATTAACTCTGATTTTTTTTCTTCACAAATGCTGCCAGACCAGCTGAGCTTTTCCAGCAACCTCTGTTTTTGTTCCATTCAAATTTCTAGTTTCACAAAAGAAAAATACATTCATTCACATGGTTTGTTTCATACTTGATTGGAAATCAGATTTTAATACTTTCAAAACCAATTTGACAGTTCACTGGATTTACATTGTTGTTGTCTCTTGGTGATATCAGCAAATTTCAAGTAATGAAACTCTGCATCCTGTTTATCTGACTGACATATAGCTGTCAATGGAATGTTAATCATTTGATATGGTTGTGATAAACTTGTTCACTAATGCCTAGTGACTAGTGTGTTTTTGCAGAGTGACTTGTGTCGACGTAAAATTGAGGGTTAAACCAATGTATGATTTTAACGTTCAGTGGAAAGTCAAATTAGGTGAGACTGAAATGAGTAATGATGCTAATCCCATCAGTTTCTCAAAAAGCAGAAAAATTTAAAACAACTTCCTAACTTTTGACAGAATATTGATATCAGCAGGATGATAAAGTTACCTTGGAAACAGTGCCAGCTGCTTATTTTTATATTGAAGGATCCTTGTTAACCTTTAGATATAAGTAATAATAATAGAATGGTTGATGCATTATTCTAATACATGACTTTTTTTTAATATCAGAATTTTGTCTTGCCTGTGGAAGCATAAGAGTCAGCACTTTCCATCCACTGTTTGAAGGCGGTCTGTGTCCTATTTGCAAGGTGAGTATGTATAATCTCTTCAAATACATGAATAGCTACTTTAGTACATAAAGCTTCATAAATGATGATTGTCAAGATTGTGTCAACCACATGGCATAAATCAAGTAAGCTTTCTAAGAAGAAAAAATATATTCCTTTTCTCTTTGTCTGTTCTCCCAGCATCTCTCATGAAAGCAGTAGAAGATGGGAATGTCAAGGGATCAAATTTCATATTGTTCTGTGTTATAGTAGTTAAGCTTAATTCTTTCTTTTGCATTGAATATTCAGAACATGCACATTTTCGATAGGGCCTTTGATTGTGATTCCCCCTTCCCTTCCAATGTCACCAGCTTTTCCCCGAGGATGCTTAGATTAAGTATGGTGTTGCCCAGCTGTACCTGCTGTCTGGGTTGAAATCAGTCACTAACACACACTGAGACCATTATTATTTTACAGATGCAATGAGGTTAATTCTGGTATTCGTTATTCAGAAGCAATCCTGCGGTGTGGACCTGGCCATTTCTTGTTGAAAGCATGTGATTTCAAATCAATTGTGTAAAATTAATGTTTTCAAAAAAGAATAGTGATCCACTGTGATGGATTAGAACTTAGATGCTGAAGAAAAATTCTTCATCCCAATTCACCAATTGAGTGTTATCTGGACATCTAGTTAATATTGTGCTTTGCTCAAATTATACTTTTACCAAAGATTTGCTGAAAGCAGTTTCATGTTAAAGAAATTATCCAATGTAGATAACTTGAGATGTTTACAAGTCAGTGTTTTGTCTGATGTTGTAATCTGTGCACATTGACATCAATTATACCCAGTAGATTCCATTCACCAGTGCTATTATTATCACATCAACACCATTAGTATGCACTGTTTCAAGATCAACATTTTTTTCTCTGTTTAGACTGGTAATAGCCAAAGAATCTTTGATGTCCAAGATTGCATTCAGAAATCTACTATAACTAATAACTTATGTTTGCTAATGCTAATTACATATTTACTTTGAACATTATCACTTGGAGAAATTTATGTTTAGAATAATCTCAAATGTTCTTAAATTGTCTGTACATTATTCTTGGACATAACATTCTTGTTATTCAAACTCAACAGCATAACTGCAGTGATCTAAGTGACAGTAATGATCACTAACGAAAATTTAGCAAACTTTTTCTTCCAATTGATTTTAATGGGATGGTATTTCTGTAAAATAAAATGGAGCAATTACCATACCACAATTTTCTAGGACTTTTGTGTTGTAAAACAGGACATGTGATGTACGTAAAGCAAACATATCCACTGCAATGCTGTAGCAGGCACAAAAGCACAATACTTCAATATTGGAGGCTTATGGTTAAATCATCTGAGATATTTAGTAATTGTATGAGGTTGCCAGAAAGGCTTTCTGATGGAAGGATTTTGTTCTTCCTCCTTTTCTCGCCAGTTTTCATGCCATTACCTTTCTGCTGAGTACTTTTCTGGGCTTTGTTCTGTGGCCCTAGGCACTCACTAAAAGTTAATTTGAGTAGCTATTCATGAATATGAGCCTAGACCGTGAGTGTGCAAGCCTGTCATCCGTTTGGGAAGCTGTAGGAGGTAGAACGTAAGCTTAACCTAATGTTAATATATGTAATTTCAGCAGGGCTTGCAACACAGCAATCAGGACAGGACAGTATACAGTCATCAGTTCCTCCTCTATAACACGGAGATATTGTGGCCAACTTTAGCTCCTTCCCCACCTCTTTGGTTGAAATGGCAGATCAGAAATTGAATCTGGAAATGTTTAGTCAACATATATTGTAGGCCTAGCTGTTCATATGTATTCAATAATTATAATTTTTCTTTTTAAAAAAATTGGTACACTTGAAATAATACATCAGAGTTTGGAAAAAGGATGAGAAATGAATAAATATTGACTTATTCCTTTTTATTAATTGTTAGAAATGTACTCAATTGAAACTGTCTCAAGAACTTTGCATCGAGCCCAATGGTACAGTCAGAAGGCACAAATAGATTGAAATTAAGCCATTTGTTTTCAGTTGTCAAAAATGCCAACTGTTTTATTAGCTTTTATAATTTTACATCTAATTTACTCATCTGAATTGCTTTTTGTAGTAGGTCTGTCCAAATACTGACAAATCAAATACTGTCAAATATTTTAGGAAGTTTAATAGTCTATTCTCTGACTGCAGGCAGCTAATGTTAGTTTGGAACTCAGAATTTTATAATTAACTTACTTCATAAAAATGTTGAATCTTTATGAATAACTAACTAGCTGAGTGCAAATATATCGATTATACATCAATTATGTTCATGTTTGAGCTCCTGTAAACTACAAGTATGAACCAATATCCTTCAGAAGCTGGAAATCTGAAACAAAAGCACAGTGTGCTTTAAATGCACAACAAGTTAGTCAACATTACTAGAGAAACTGATGCATTCATGCTTCAGGTTGGAGGTTTATTTTTGGAATGAGTCAAGTTGCCTGTTTTCTCTATAGATCCTGATCAACCTGCTATGTGTTTCCGTCGATGTTCTGATTTTATTGATATAACTTATTTTTTGGTCTCAATTTGCAGTCAGTGACAGATAGGCAAGTGTTGCGATTAGTAGGTGTTTTGTTAATATCTGGGTGCAAATTAATGCAGCTCAGAGGCCATTGCCAAACAGTTAAGTTCATGAGGACAGTTGCCAGGATGATGTGGAACAAGGGGCTAGTCAGTTTATATGTAGAAAAAAGGGAAGGGGATAGGGTAGGGAGTAAATAAACTGACGTTTTCCCAGCCACCATCAGTTCTGAGGAAGGGTCACCGGACCCGAAATGTTAACTCTGCTTTTTCCTTCACAGATCCTGCCAGCCCTCCTGAGCTTTTCCAGCAACTTTGTTTTTGTTCCTGATGCACAGCAACCTCAGTTCTTTCAGTTTTTATTTAATATTTTTGAATTATTTGGAGCTTAACTTTTTGGGCCACTTCTGTCACACCCATTCCTGTGCTGGCCTATTAAAGGAGCTTACTGCGGTTTCTCTGATGGGTTCCCTAGTAATAGTTGCTGTTGGGCCACAATGTTGTAATTTTATTTGCATTAAAAAAAATGACCTACAAGCTTTGGGCAGTTGTCCTTTCTTACTTCACGGAAAAGTTGTTGTAGCAAGATAACCTCTATTTCACCAATGCCATCTTTAATTAACAGTGTTACTCTCCTCCTTTGCATCACATCTTCTTATACCCTTCAATACTCAATATCCAATCCTCCTCATGCAGCTATGTTTCCATAATAGCTATCACATCACTTGTTTACTTATTTCAATGTGCACTATTGTAATGATTGTAGCAAGGTCAGCCAGGTGCACCTCGTGGACTGAGTTCTGTGATTGGATCAGATTCACAGCCCTAATCAGGCAGCCCTGGTCGACAGGTAAAAACAGGAGTGTCAACTCTGAGAGTTGCCTCTAGGGGATCGGATCAGTGTCAAGGACTCTTCACATTGTAAATAAAGGGTGACTTGGTGATGGGATACCAGCCTCTGTAGAGTTATTTCACTATCAGTTTGTTTACTCTGAACACATTTAGTTTTATCTTTGTGTTATCTTTGTAATCGCACATCTGTACTGTTAGTGTAGACTGATGTTTATTCTGTCTATCCCTTCTTGCCATGCTGTGGCCTTTATTCCGCATATTATTTTCCTTTTCTGCTTTGACTGTACCCCTGCATTTCCTACCTCTGCCCAAACTTGATCCTCCACTCCCATTCTTCAGGTTAAAGCTCATTCTATTTCCCTAGAAATAGGGTTTGCCAGAGCACTGGTTCCAGCATGGTTCAGATATACATGTCCCAACAGAACGATCCCCATTTTCCACAGCACTAATGCTGGTACCACATAAACCAGAAATTGTAATGCAGATTCTCTGAAGCACAGATCATATCATTGATCCCTTTATTCATTAATTAAAAACATTAAATGTGCTTTACAGCAGGTAAATATGTTTTTGAACACATGATTACAGTCGTCAAATTAAAACCCTACAATTAATCCATGAAAATCGTTGCCATTTTGTGTGTGTGTAGTCTTTTGTGAATTAATTGTTTGTTGGTAATGTTGCAGGATATCTACCTGGAGACATCATATATGTATGACGATGATGGCTACCAATCATACTGTACTGTGTGCTGTGGTGGGCGAGAGGTGTTGCTGTGTGGAAATGCAAACTGCTGCAGGTATGGTGGCCACATGAACTTTGAAGCAGTTGTTTATAGAATACGAGTAAAATTTTTTATTTTCTTTAAACTTGGTATTTCTGTGGGTTTGTTAACGTTAGCCACTTTTGTTAGATGGTTCCTACGATTTGGAGTGTACTTTTTTACCACTTAATACCAAGTCAGCTGAGGTCACGAGAAAGATCCCTTTATTCAGAACGTTGCCTATGGAAGATATTTCCTTGTAGCTACATAAATTCAGTAGGCATTCTATCAGCGTTACATAGGTTTCATATCAATTATTGGATTATTTACTTAAGACACATAAACGAATGACATTCAGTTTAATTCGGTGAAAACATTTGTTTTTTTTATGTCAAAGAATGTAGAAAAACAATGTACCAAATTTGGTTTGTCTCTCATTCCTCGGGACAATTCACAAATCCCGAAGTAAAGGGAAAACAACATTTAAACTGCATGAGAGGCAAGTGCTGATTGGTTGACAAATGGGCTCTGGTTACTTAAAACATTACCATGGAGAATGCAGTACTTAATGATAATTGGCAGTTAACTGCCTAGCTTTGTCTAGGTTTTATGCAGACAGTAATTAGTTAAGAAACTGCTTTGAGAAATGAACCAAAGAATAACTGTCATCTATTTTTTTGAATTGAAACAGGTGTAGTGTGTGTACATGTTCTTTCTGTCTGCAAAAGACAGGGTCCTGTGTATTAACATTCCTAGCTACCAGTATGTGCAATTGCTCCACACTGTAAACCCAACTGATAATCCTGTGTAATTCAGCATAATTCTTCACACAGTCAGCATACAAGGGAGTGATTTACAGGTAGGTGTGGAGGAGCATGTCTGTTTTTCCTGCCCCACAATAGGTGTGAAAGAAACTCATGACTGCAGGGTCCAGCAGTCCCTGTATCCCTTTGGTTGGCAGCTTTCCTGAAGCCTGGGAACCCCAGTCAGTGTGAGTTAAATCTGAAGTTGAAGGAAGATCTGAGGCATGCAGTCTCATGGAAGGACTCGACCCCCATCCCACCATCAATCAAACCAGTAGTAATACAGGTCTTCTCTTGTACTGTCTGATTCTATGAATCAATGGACATCTTAAATCTGGTTTGAGAGTTCTAATATTTTAACATCTCACCCAGCCCACATCCAGTTGCTTTTATTGGTTAAAACTCATCTCTGTAAACCATTGGTAAGATGAATTAAGAAATCAAGGCTTTTCATCTTGCACCCATTAGGGCAAAGAGGCAAGAAACAGTCTTGAAAAATAGGACACCAATTTATACAGCATGAGAAGAAGGTACTGATTGATTGGGGAATCATTGACAAGGAACTGCAGCAAGAACAGTTAATTGTCAAGTTTAGCTCTCAGATCAAGCAGGTAGACTCTGATAGGCCCAGGTATTGTCTTGGGAATGCAGCAATGGTTGGCAATCTCTATGACCGCTTTTTGTTTCCATGAATATGCTATAATAACATAGAAATAACATAGAATAACATAGAATCCCTACAGTGTGGGAACAAGCCCTTCGGCCTAACAACACCAACCCTCAAAGCATCCCACCCAGACCCATCCCCCTATAACCCACCTAATCTACACGTCCCTGAACACTATAGGCAATTTAGCATGGCCAATCCATCTAACCTGCACATCTTTGGACTGTGGGAGGAGACCGGACCACCTGGAGTAAACCCACGCAGACACGGGGAGAATGTGTAAACTCCACTCAGACAGTTGCCTGAGGGTGGAATTGAACCTGGGTCTCTGGCGCTGTGAGGCAGCAGTGCTAACCACCGACTCCACACAAAATCTGGTCCTGTATATTAATATATGTAGCTTCTAGCACATGCAAAGAAATCACACTGTAAGCCCAACTGGTGATCTTAAATTAGCTTCTGGTGTAATTCTTAGCACAGTCTGGATTATTTATGAAATGATTTCCAAAAGCAGAATTACATACTGCTTTGAAGCTTGCAAGCCTTGCAGGGCCAGTTGAGCATGATCAGCATGCTGCCAGCTGTGAGTGTTCAGTGTGATATGATGTTTGATATGGTCTGCAGTTGTTGTGATATGTTGTTTACACCCTTAGCATCACAGCAGGACTGAAACTCATGGATCACATTAATCATTTGTGTTGTAGACTGGACAGCAAAATCCTCTTAGTAGAGAAAACCACACTGGGTTACTGCAAAGTAGCAGCATGAGGCATTTAGCTTCATCAGTATTGACATACCATCCGCTTGCAGGGTAGTCTGATGTAAACTGTCCGTTGTTCAGGGTGCAAAGTGGTAGACATATACCCTGTCGGGAGCTTTTGCAATATATGATGATTTAATCAGTGTAGCCATTATCATGACAAATCGCTTTGATCTGCCCTATCTCAGCATTAGAGTGCAAGAGTTTCTACTTCTTGTCTCTTTTTAGCAATGTTTAAGTTTTGTACTACCAAGCAAGTATTCTCCTTTGTATCAGTGAACTACAGCACCTTAAATTTGTGACTTTTCTCACCTTGCCTTAGCTGAAATTGAGCAGGAAAGCTTTGGAAAGTGGATGTGGGGGTTCTTAAGCTTTGAAGACATAGAAACAAAGAAGATAGACTCTGCTGTTCAAGATGACCATGGCTGATCATCCAACTCACTGGTACCCTATTCCTGCTTTCTCCCCAGAATCTTTTATCCCTTTAGCCCTAAGAACTATACCTAGTTCCTTCTTGATAACAATCAATTGTCTTGACACAAAAACAGAAATTGCTGGAGAAACGCAGCAGGACTGACAGAATCTGTGGGGAGAAAGCAGAGTTAACAATTTAAGTCCAGTGACTTCATCAGAACACCTAATAGCTTGGAAAAAGTGGTATTTATGCTGAAGATGGGTGGGGGGAGAGGTGAGAGATAGGTGGAGGTAGCAGTTAGAGAGAGGGAGATATGAAAGGAATAGGCAGACAAGGCGATTTTTGACTGTATGCCAGGACAGAAGAGAAGCTGAAAAAGTGATAGAGAGCTGAGAGCAGGAGAGAATGATTAGACAAACCATGTCTTATGATAATAGGACTCAGTGGGTGAGAATGGGTTGAAAGAAGCCCATTTCTTGAAAGGACCAGGGTATGGAGGTGGGTAAAAAAATGGAAGAATGTAATTAAGCTGTAAAGTTATTGAACACGATGATGATTCCTAGAGGCTGCAAGATCCAAAAGCAGAAAATGAGACCGTGTTCTTCCAGCTTACACTGAGGCTCACTGGAGCATTGCAACATGGTGGTGTGTTGAAGTGGTAGACAACTGGAAGCTTGAGATTATTTTTACTGATGGATCATAGGTGTTTTTACAAAGTGGTCACTCAGTCTCTGCGATGTAGAAGAAACCACTTTGTGAGCAGTGAATACAATAGATGATTGAAGTGCAGATAAATTGCTGCTTCAACTGTCTGGGGCCTTGCATAGTGAGCAGGGAGCAAGTAAATGGGCAGGTGTTGCCCATTCTGTGATTGCATCGGAAGGTGCTGTGGGGATGTCAGGAGATATTGGGAGTGGAGGAGGTGTGGACGATGGTGGTCTGGAGGGAATGGTTCCTGCAGAAGGCTGACAAGGGAGGGGAATATATATCTGATGGTGACATCCTGCTGGACGTGACAGAAATAACAGCTTACGATCTATTGGATGTGGAGGCTGTTGGGTGGTAAGTGAGGACCAGGGGAATCTATTGTTGACCTCTCTGCTCAACACTCCTCTCCCCTATTTTCATTATAACTACCATTCTTTTCCTAGCTACTACATGCTCTGATGAAGTGACCATAAGATATAGGGGCAGAATTAGGCCATTTGGCCCATGATGCCTACTCTGCTACTTGATCAAGGCTGATATGTTTCTCAAACCTATTCTCCTGCCTTCTCCCCATTACCTTTGATCTACTTACTAATCAAGAACCTATCTATGTCCATCTTAAAGACACTCAATGACTTGGCCTACACAACTATCTGTGGAAATGAGTCCCACAGATTCACCACTTTGGCTGAAGAAAATTCCCCTTATCTCAGTTTTAAAGGATCATCCCTTGCTCTGAGGCTGTGCCCTCAGGTCCTAGTTTCTCTACTAGAGGAAACATCATCTCCATATCCACTCTGTCCAGGCCTCTCATTATTCAGCTACGCTTCAATTCGATCCCTCCTCATTCTTCTGAACTATTGAGCACAGACCCAGAATCCTCAACCATTCCTCATATGACAAGGTCTTCATCCCTGGGATCATTCTTGTGAACCTCCTTTGGACCCCCTCCAAGGCCACTACATCCTTCTTTAGATAAGGGACCCAAACTGTTCATAATATTCTAATTATGGTCTGACTAGAGCTTTATACAGCCTCAGCAGTGCGTCCCTGCTCTTGTATTCTAGCCCTCTCAAAATGAAAGTTAACTTACATGTGTGGCCTTAGCTGTCAACTGAACCTGCATGTTAACCTCAAGAGAATCATGAGCTAGGACTCCTAAGTCACTTTGTGCTTCAGATTTCCGAGGCCTTTCCCACTTAGAAAATAAACTACGCCTCTATTCTTCGTACTAAAGTCTATAACCTCACACTTTCCCACACTGTATTCCATCTGCCACTTCTTTGTGCACTCTTCAACCTGTCCAAGTCCTTGCAGCCTTCCTGCTTCATCAACATTACCTGTCCCTCCACCTATTTTTGTGTCTTTTGCAAACTTAGCAATGATGCCCTCAGTTCCTTCTTCCAGATTGTTAATGTATCAAGTGAATAGTTGTTGACCCACACTAACTCATGAGGAATTTAACTAATCGCTAGCTGCTATCCTGAAAAGGGTACTGTTTATCCCCACTATATGCTTTCTGCCAGTCAGCCAATCCTCTATCCATGGCCGTACTTTGCCTCTAACACCATGGGCTCTTATTTAGCAACACCTTTTCACCGGACTTAAAACATTAACTCTGCTTTCTTCCCACAGATGCTCAGAACTGCTGAGTTTCTCCAGTAATTTCTGTTTTTGTTTTATATCTGCAGCATCCGCAGTTCCTCATTTTATTTAAATGTTTTGCCCTCAACTACTTTCTGTGGCAGAAAATTCCACGGTTTCACCACTCTGTGGGTGAAGCAATTTCTCCTCATCTCAGTCCTAAAAGGCCTATTTTGTATCCTTAAACTGTAATCCTTGGTTTAAGACTCCCTAGTCATTGGGAACAGCATTCCTGCATTTACCCTGTCTACTCCTGTTCGAACTTATAGGTGTCTAAGAGACCTCCTCTCATTTCTTTGGAACTCCAGTGAATATATTCCTAACTGATCCAGTTTGTCTTCGTATGTAAGTCCTGTCATCCCAGGAATGGACTACCAACTCAACTTAGAAGAGACAAGTTTTCTGCTCCTGCCAGGACTACTGATCAATTCATCCCCACCCTCTTCCTGCATGTGGGGATTGGGAATGACGGGAAACAATTTCCAATCTGTTTTTGAGCAGTCAAACTTTGCAGAAACTGAAATCACTATTGAGATGGAATTTTATTCCTTGAAAGCAAGTTGGTTTGGATTGGTTTAATGTGTCAAAAATCTGATCCTCACACTTAACCCACTTCGGGTTTAAATAACATAGGATGGAGTGAGCAATCATTTTGCTCCGAGAAGGAGGGTTGATGTTTTAAATGTTATCAGGCTGTAAGCCTCAATGCAATTCAATATTTTGGGAAACACAATTGTCCACTTTTAATTCAAACATCAAGGTCTCCTGACAGCCACTGTTCTGATGGATCAAGTCAGTGAAAATCCTGCCTTTAGTGTTTTGCCTGGAATAGCCTAATGCCCTTCGCCAAGTCATTTATATGACATTTCAGCAAGATGATATAATTAACCCCTTTCATTTGTGTCTATGTTAAAAAATGTTCAAAGTAAATTTCATAATTTATTTTCTGTCAGCATTTGATTCATTTCCTAACTTTTGTCAAATTACACTGTTGCGCTCAAAGAGGCCGACTGGTTTAAAAAATGAAAGAATGGCCCTCGCTACCACAAGTGTCATACCAAGATGAATGAAGATTGTCAGGAACATATTGGAAAGGGCTTGCTTATGTTAGAAGATTCCAATTACTCGTGGGGAGCTGTGAAGATGTAAAGTGATTAGTACTCAGGACATTTGGCTGGGAGCTGAGTGTGTTCAGCCACTCGTCTGCAGTCAGATTTAATCCTGTTTATACACAGTGGTCAGAACAAAATCCTTGCCTTGGGACTCTTTCAGAGTTTATCTGTTTTTTTTTATTTTTGCCCCCATAACTCTTCTCTTCCAACAATGTTAAGGAATAAGGTATATTTATAAAATTGATGAGTGTCCATTGTAATTAATCATTAGCACAACTGGAAGGATTTATTGAACAAAGAGGAATAAATATATTCCAAGAAACTTAAACATTTAATGAAGCACCTGCATTTTTCATAAACTAAGATTGTGATTCAACTGGCGTCCATGAGCTTCCCTTGGTCCTTACTTTTAATAATGTAAAAGTGTGGTCAGCTGGTGATGTCTGTTTCCAGTGATCCAAGCTAAACAAATAATGACTTAAAAACAATTTCAATTCTATAGTCAGCGTTTATTCTGTCAGGTAAAACCCTTCCACTCTGCCAAATCTACCCTTTCAGCTCCTCCATTTCTGTATTCCATGGAATAAAGGGACTATTTTATGCCCAAACGGTTTCTTATAATTTGGTATTTTTCTTAAGATGGTGCATGCTTGTTTTCCTTTTTGTAAAATTTGTAGATATACTCTTAAATAGAGGCAATGAATGTTCAGCTGCAAGCTCTGTAGTTGATATGATTCCAACATAGGGTAACTATTTTCAAAAGTCAAAATTGACCATCTGTCAGTATTTCTGAATTGCATATTAAGGGAATATGAACTTGTGAATGGGCCCCACACCAGTGTTTAACTAATCTGTTTATTTCCAGCCCCATTACTGAGAGTTTTTACCTAGAGCTTTAGAACTGAACCACCTGTTTGCTGCACAACCTCCACTTTCGGTGAGCTCATAGCTGCAAACTGCCAACTCCAAGTCCCGGAGAATGGCCTGTTCAGATACCATAAGTGTTCCTGGAATGGAAGGCTGGCTGAGGGGTCTCTCTTGGACCAGCTGACAATCATCTGAGGCTGTCTTCTCAGTGTGCATTCCAGTTATTTTATTATTTTGCTGCTGTCATGTTCCCATTGACATATTTTAAAGGTTGTCAAAAAACATAAATGCTGAAAACTGGGACATTTGAATGATTTTGAGGAAATTGTTGGGACAATAAGGTATTTAATGAGAATCCAGGACAACAGGGTATTTAATGAGAATCCAGATGTATCCTGGCAAAATATGGATGTCTGGTTACCATATTCTTGCATCATTTGTTTTGGGGGAAGATCTGCATTTTGTATCACTCAGGCACTTCACAAGCCCATGGAAGATTGTTCCCTGGCATTAAGGACCCCAACTATAAACGTTCTACCTGCCGGCCAGTCAGGGACTGGTAGCTCTTCTATGCTCAGCAATGTCACCAGGAAGGCAGTGGTTTCTGTATGTAACTACACCTTACTGAGGCCTTGGATCGAGGGGAGACTCTGGCACAGGAGAGTGATGGTGGGCAGGGGGATTACTGGCAGGAAGGTTGTGGGGGTAGAAGGGTAGCTCATTATCTCCCCCACCACGGTTCCAATACCAGGTTCTTCAATCAGGCACTGAATGCCTTTGAATGATTCCTTCTGTGCACCTGTTGATATTGGTCATAATTGGCAGTGGAGTGGGCAGCCATCCACAGGCTTTTCTAACACAGTCTTAATTGGGTTGGAGGCAGGCAAGTAGCAGGGTCACCACTTTCATTCTGTCATCTGCATAAATGCCCCTCTTCTCCCGCCCCGCCACCAAATTTACCTGAAGTGAGGGCACAGGATTCTGACCTTGGAATACTTCACTTTATTAAAGATGCTATGGAAATTCACATTGTTCTACCTTCACCTTTTCTTACTCTTTGTTGTGTATTTCCATTCTATACCTTCAGAGACTTTTTGTCTTTCTACATATGAAGAACATGCTTGACTCCTTTTTGGCATCACCATTCAATTGATTTTCTCTCAGTGCTATATATTCCCATAAACATTGTCCAAAACCTCACCCAGTTTGGGTAGAAATGTATACAGTAACATTGTATGACTCATCTTTTAGGTCTGGCTCTCACTTAGGGAAGTGACTCACCTTGACTTGTCCAGCTATGACTCTAAATTGTTCTTTGCAGATCACTTCATAATGCCTTCTGTTTGTTTTTCATGTCAATAGAATTGATTTGTTGAGGGACCAGTACTCCTGATATGGAAATACCAAACTGACTAATTTGCTTTGCCATGACTCATAAAGAGAAGGTTCTGTATGAGAGTGTTCTCACATCCTATATCACTGCCTGTTAAGAACTTTACCATTTTCGGGGCATATTCCAAGACCATTCATCTACTGTGAGAAATATTTGTGGATTATATACAAGGCATTTTCACTTACGGATTCTTCAAAAACTAAATTAAATGCCCTAGGTGGGGAAAAATGTCCTTAATAAAATGTTTTTATATAGTTTTGTGCCAGATACCACAAGCTACCAAGTGTTAATTACATTCACATCCCATCACAAGTCATCTTTTTAATGGAATAATTTTGAATTGTATGAAGAGAATTTCTTAATTGAAGTTTCTGACAGTGTCCAACCAGTACTTGACAGTACACTTTGTGAGACATTTCTGTTTTTTTTTTGGACCTCATGTTTCGCTTGGCAAGAAGCTAGCTTGATCAAGCATCCCTACTGTCCATTGGTCAATATACTGGAAGACGTTCTTGAGCACTTCAAGAAAACTCCCAAGTATTCCAGCCCAAAAATCATTCATGGGAAACCTTGAGTTAAGTTCATTTTTTTCCCACTTAGTATTTAATGATATATAGCTGCACATGTCAGGTAAAACCAGGTATAATTATTTCAGGATTTTAAAGCATAATCCTATTGTCAAGATGTGAAGTTAGTAGGAATCATTCCAGTAATGCTGTATTTGCCTGTAGATGCTTCTGTGTGGACTGCATAGATATCCTTGTGGGGCCAGGTGCATCCGAAGAAGCTAAGGTGCAAGACCCTTGGAGATGTTACATGTGTCTTCCGAATGAAAGCTATGGAGTACTGAGAAGGCGCAGAGACTGGACCATGAAACTCCAAGAGTTTTTTGCCAGTGACAATGGTCAAGAGTATGTAAGTCGTACAGCTTTTTGATTAATTTGTGGGATGTGGTATTTATTACGCATTTTCTTGTCCTCGAGAATTGCCTTCTTGAACTGCTGTTGTCATGTGGCAGAAGGTATTCCTGTAGTTTTGCTGGTGAAGAAGTTCCTGGATTTTGACCCAGTGATGATGAAAGAAAGGTCATGTATTTCCAAGTAAGCAGGCATGCATCAAGGAGGGATGTTTGAAGATATTGGTGTTTTCATGTATTTGTTGTCTTTGACCTTATAGATGCGACATGCTGCAGATATTGTGAACTGGTGGTGGAGGGAGTGAACACTTAGGGTAACAGTTGAACTGCCAATCAAGCAAGCCGTTCTGTAAAGGATAGTGTAGAGTTTCTTGACTACTGATGGGGTGTACTTCAGACAAACAGGAGAGTATCAAACTCCTGATCTGTGATTTGTAAATGGTAAAATGCTTTGGCAAATCAGGATGTGAGTCATACTGCAGAATAAGTGGCCTCTGGTGCTTTTATCTTTGTAACTGGGTCCAGTTAAGTTTCTGGTCAATATTAATCCCTCAGAATTTTAATTGTTGGGGAGTCGGCAGTGGCTATGCTGGCCAGTATCAAGAGGAGGTGATTAGGTTCTCTTGTTTGAAGTGGTCATTGCCTTGCACTGAGGTAGTGTGAATGCTACTTGCCATTTATCACTCCAAGCCTGAATGTTGTCCAGTTGTTGCTTGATCATGGACTGCTTCTTTATCTGACGAGGTGTAAATGAAACTCAATACTTGTACAATCAACAATGAATAACTCCACATTTGGCTTGATGATGGAGGAAAGGTCACTGGTAAAGCAGATGAAGATGGTTCTGCCTAGGACACTGAGCTGAGGCCCTTCTTCAGTAATGTCCTGATACTGAGATCATCGATTTTTAACAACCACAATCATCTTCCTTTCTATTAGACACGATTCCCAGCAGTGTAAACCAACAACCATCCCTCCATCCCCATCATCCAATTCCCATCAATTTCCCTTTTACTAAAGCTCAGTGAAATTATGTCTTGATATCAAACAAAGATCAAGGAGAAACTTGTGAGTTTTGAAAGATGAATTTACTTGTATAGATTTGTTAGATGGTTATAATTTTTATTTGTATAAGCATATTGTAAAATGTGTTAATAACTTTACAAATTTCATTGTAATATTTCATATGGAATAGTTATCCATTTTTCACATTACAGTAAAAAAAATTAATTTGTTGTATAAACATCTAACATGCTAATAGCAAATTGTTTTATTCCATTTAAAAGATAGTTTAAACAGGTTCTGCCTCTATTAAAATAATTGAGGAATTTAATACCAATTGTTACGTAGGACAAGTAGTTTTCTACAGTGCAGGTAATTTACGTCGCACAAATGGAATTCGACTCAGAAAAATGTGAAGTGATTAATTTTGGAAGGTCAAATTTGAATGCAGAATGCAGGGTTAATGGTAGGATTCTTGGCAGTGTGGAGGAACGGAGGGATCTTGGGGTCCACGTCCATAGATCCCTCAAAGTTGCCACCCAAGTTGATAGGGTGGTTAAGAAGGCGTATGTTGTGTTGGCTTTTATTGGCAGGGGAATCGAGTTTAAGAGCCGCGAGGTTGTGCTGCAGCTCTATAAAACCCTGGTTAGACCACACTTGGAATATTGTTTTCAGTTCTGGTCACCTCATTATAGGAAGGATGTGGAAGCTTTAGAGAGGGTGCAGAAGAGATTTACCATCATGCTGCCTAGACTGGAGTGTAGGTCTTATGAGGAAAGGTTGAGGGAGCTAGGGCTTTTCTCATTGGAGCAAAGAAAGATGAGAGATGACTTGATAGACGTGTACAAGATGATGAGAGGCATAGATAGAGTGGATAGCAAGAGATTTTTTCCCAGGTGGAAATGACTATTACGAAGGGACATAATTTTAAGGTGATTGGAGGAAGGTATAGGGGAGATGTCAGAGGTAGGTTCTTTACACAAAGAGTGGTAGGTGCATGGAATGCACTGCCAGCGGTGGTAGTGGAGTCAGATACATTAGGGACATTTAAGCGACTCTTGGATAGACACATGGATGATAGTTAAATGTAAAGTATGCAGGGTAGTTAGATCTTAGAGTAGGATAATATGTTGGCACAACATCGTGGGCCGAAGGACCTGTACTGTTCTATGTTCCATGTTCCACGTTCTTAAATGCTAACCTCTTTTAGTAGGTAGTAATTGACAGACCTGAAGAACAGCCAGGAGACCCTAGTTCAAGTCCCACCTACACCAGATGTGTGTAATCACATCTCTGAGCAGGTTGATTAGAAAATATTAAAACAAAAATGTGCTTCGAACAAGAGTTCTTGTGTTGCAGTGATAATGTTCCTACCTCTGGGCCAGGAGACTTACCAAAATATGCTATTTATCTGTTAAACTCCATTTACCAATTATTTACCCATTCTATATTATTCATATTCTCTTGTAATTTGTTGCAGTTCTCTTTAGAATTGATAGTTCTCCCAATTCTGTGCCATCTGCAAAATTAGAAATTGTGTTCTCATTCAAAAGTTTAAATTGTAGTGTAAATTGTGGTCTAAAGTGGTTTCAGTACTGATGTCTATAGAACACTATTTCCCACCTTCTGTCATTCTGCACAAACACCCTCCTGTTCTCCTCTTTATACCTTGAAGAGAGAACAATTCACCCTGCCCCTTGGTGCCGACACCACATTCTTTGAAATTATGCTTTAGTTTTATTATGGCGCAACTTATTGCAGGCGATTTGAAAATCTGGATAAGTTGCAACTAATGCTTTAGTATTGTCTATTCTTTATTATAGACTCATAGAGCTGTATAGCATGGAAACAGACCCTTCGGTCCAACTTGTCCATGCTGACTAGATATCCTATATTAATCTAGTCCCACTTGCCAGCTTTTGGCCCATGTCCCTCTAAACCCATCCTGTGCTAATACCCATCCAGATGCCTTTTAAATGTTGTAATTGTACCAGCCTCCACCACTTCCTCTGGCAACTCATTCCATACACCCACCACCCTCTGCGTGAAAAGGCTGCCCCTCACCTTAAACCTATGCCCTCTAGTTTTGGACTCCCCCAGCCTGGGGAAAAGAGCTTGGCTATTCACCTTACCTATGCCTCTCATGATTTTATAAACTTCAATAAGGTCACCCCTCAGTCTCTGGATTATCTCCTGAAAACATTCCATAAGTTTGGTCAAGCACTTTTTTCTTTTTGAAATCTGTGTGAACTGTTATTATTTTCTTATTTTTAGATGTTCATCCATTCTCCTCATTTCAAAGGATTCCTTGACTTTTACTCTGATGCTAAAGCTGACTGGTTAATTATTTTCTGGGCATATTCTGTCCCCCTTCTTAAATATGGGGATTATATTTAACAACCTACTAGTCCTCTGGCACTGCACCTTTTTCTAACAAAATAAAAATTAATAGTAATGCATCTGCATTAACCTAGATTCTCTTAAAATATGGGGATGCTCCCATTTCAAGCAGAAGTTTTGTCTTGTTGAGTTTGTTCAACCTATTTTTTAATTTAAATGCACTTATTTCATTTGAGATTTCATCATTGAATGCCATGTCCACCAATTCTATCATCTTTGTAAATACTGAGGCAAAATATTTAATATTTCCGCCACTTTTCTATCATTAACTTATCGTATTTATCCCTCTGGCATAATCCCATCAAAGACATTTTTTTAATTGAAGTGCCTGTAAAATATTTTACTAATTTGTTTTATGTTCCTTGATAAATTACTTTCATATTTCCTCTTTGCCTTCTTCCTTATTGCTTCATATTGTCTCTTATTCTGTACTCATTTGCTAACCATATACTTAATAAAGGCCTTTTTCCTAAACTTTGTTGTTCTTTTCTTGCTCTACCTAAACTTGATGTTATTTTTTTCCTTTTTATTTAACAGAATATATTTTTCCTACGCTCTGAACACTATTTAAATGTTTTCCATTGTTAGGCTACGTTGCTAGGCAGCTACATCGATAAACATCTTAATGGCCCAAATTCTATTCCTAGCTCCTCAAACTCAGCTCTCCTTTTACGTGTCAATGTGGTTTTCATTACATGTATGTCCTTCTCTACCATTGCCTTCAAAGTGCATTATGTTATGGTAGCTATCATCTAGCTGTTCCCCTACTTTTACTTGAATTTTCTGCCCTGGTTCAAGTCCATTTCCAGGTCCATTGTTGGCACTTTTTTTTTGTACTTGAGTTAAAAAGGAGATCCGCACACAATGTACAGAAGGATGTGAAAACTAGGAGCTGGAGTGGGCCATTTGGCCCCTCAAACCTGCCCTTCCATAAAACAAGATCATAGCTGATCCACCCCAGGCCTTCACTCCTCTTTCATGCCAGCTCAGCACAGCCATTAGCTCCCAGAATTCAAAATCTATCTACCTCCTCTTTAAATACTTCTAGTGATTTAGCCTCCACAACTCTCTGGGCTAGAGAATATCACATGTTTACTATCTCTGAGAGAAGAAATTCCTTCGCATCTTACTCTTAAATGAGTGTCTGCCTATTTTGTAACTATGAATGATGATGATTTATTGTCACTTGCACTCTACAATGAAGAACACAGTAAAATACAGTGAAAACTTTTATCTGTCACCACTATCCGGCACCATTTTGAAAAATTTAAGAGTAAAATGATACAGTTGAAAGAGAGTCCATCTTTGTTCCTCCGCCATGAGCCCTGAGCCAGCTGACCAATGGCATGTCGCCAATCCTCTTCCATCTGTGCCAGACTCTCCACATCAGAATTGCCACTCTTCAGGCACCATCTCACCCTCGCTGGGCCCACCTTGCCAATGGGTTGACTGTCACCCAGTTCACAATTCCCTCCTACTGGAAACATCTTCTCAATATCTACGCTATCAACCACCTCAGAATCTTGTATATTTGAATAAGCTTACCCCTCATTCTTCTAATTCTAATGAAGAAAGACTTAATCTGTTTACTCGTTTTTGATAAGTTAACCCCTTCAACTCAGGAATCAGCCGAGTGAGTCTCTTTCAACCTGCCTCCAATGCAAGTAAATACTTTCTTAAATGCAGGGACCAAAACTGTACACATCATTCAAAATGTGGCCTCACCAACACCCTGTACAGTTGTAACAAGCTTGCTGCTTTTTAACTCCGACTCCCTGACACTGAAAGCGAAAGTTTCTATTTGCGATGCAGAGTGGCACCGACAGCGTGGGTTCAATCCCTGCACTGGCTGAGTTTACCATGAAGAACTCTCCTTCTCAACCTCTCTCTTCGCCTAAGGTATGGTGAGCCTCAGGTTAAACTCACTAATGAGAAAGCAACCTGTGGTCCTCTGGGAATATGGAAACTTTATCTTTTGCCCTAAAAAAATTCCAAATCCTCTGTCTGTCACTAGGTTTTGTCACTTTGTAAGCCTTAGTTTTTGATTGAAAACTCTTTTTAACCACTTTTGTTAACCATCAGTGGTTCATCCTTCTCATTGGGTCTTCCTCTTTGACCAGAATTTTTTTTTTGCTGAAATGTCTGTCACTGCTTGTCCACTCATTTTCCTCTTAGTTTATTTTCCCAGTCAGCTTTAGACAACTCTTTCTTCATATCTCTGTAGTTCCCTTATTTAGGTGGTTTGAAATTAAAATTGCTGTCCTTCAAATTGAATCTGAAGTTCTACGATGTTGTGATCGCTATCCCTTACATGATCCTTAAGTATAAGATCTCGTTTTTGTCCTACCTTATTATGTATTACGTGATTTAAATAACATGTTCTGGGGTATGTCAGCAATGTAGTTCTCTAAGAAGCAATCCCTAATGCACCCTAGAAATTCCCCTTCCACATCATCCTCGCCCATCTAATTTGTCCAGTTAATATGCAGATTAAAATCAATTGTTGCACTTTTCTTACCTGCTTCCATTTTTTCCTGATTTATACATTGTAGAAACTCCCTTTCATTATATCCTTTACTCAACACTTCCGAGTATCAGGTTGAAGTATTCAGGGTGGTTAAAATTCCCCAGCTATTTTATTCATTTTTTTTTAATCTTTACATTTCCTGCTCCACCTCCATTCTGTTATTAGATAAATTAAACATGATCATGTGATTGCATTAGATTTTAGTTTCTAAAACATTAATTTTATTTAGAATTAGTCTGTGTATCCACACAACTATAATTAACAATTTTCAGTTGTTCTTTTTTATTCCAGGACCCACCTAAAATTTACCCAGCAGTACCAGCTGAGCACAGAAGGCCAATCAAAGTTCTGTCACTCTTTGATGGGATAGCGACAGGTAAAGTATCAAGAATATTATTACATTGCAATATACTTCTGTCATTTTCTATGTACATTGATTTTGCAGTGAACCACTGCAAATTATTTCTTAATTGTTCCAGTTGAGGAGAGGATGGGCAGAAACCTTGGGGAGATGCAAAAAAGCAGAATTTTCATGCAAGTTACTTCAACCCTGGTGATCATCTCCTAAGTGAGGTGGTAATCATTAATATTTAAAAGTTAGATTGATGTTCACACCTCATAATGATAGCTACTCTAAATACAGAGGGCCCAAAGTTGTAAAGCACATCTTTTAAACAGTAAGCATAATAAAAGTTAACTGAGTTCTAGGAAGTAATCTTATATCTGCAAATTAAGATTCCAGTGAAAGCTATACGCCTGTTTTTGGATGAGCAGCTCCTATCAGGAAGGTAAGTAGCGGTGACCAGTTTTTGGTTTCCATAGCACTGGAGCATGGCAGTGAGGAAAGGGAAGCAAGCAGAGAGAGGCCTATTGGAGCATGAAGACACTTGGATGGAAGAGTTTGCTAGATACATTCTCACCTTCCCCTCAGGCAGCTACACTGAAAGATGTAGTTGAGATAGTAGAGCCTGTGGTCCTGGGGCAGGGTGCGTGTTAGAGAGAGATTCTGTGCTTGAGAGAAAATCCATGCATGAGAGAGAATGCATGCAAGTGAGTGAGAGTCTGTGCGAGAACGTGAGAGGAAGAGTGCCTGAGTGTGTGTATTCAGAGTGAGTGAGTCTGTAGATGGTGCCATTGAGTGTTTCACAGCTTGCTGAAAACATCACAAGACGCTCTGAGCTGACTTGGTTTGCATTGTCGCTTAACAGGCTTTTCATGTAAATTAATTCATTGGAAAACATGGGTGATTTACTGGTAGATGGTACAAAATAATGTTTGGTTGGGTTTAAGAGCACTTCCCAATATTTTAAAAAAAAGGAAAAATATATCCACGTTGCTAGTAAAGTGATGCAGCAGGAGTGTGCTAAGCCGATAATCCAGAGCTTGGTGTTTCAAAACCATCCCACACTATTTATAAAGGGCTCTTGTTGCAGAGTGGTAGTCTCCCTACCTCTGAACCAGACAGCTTGGGTTCAGGTCCCGTCTGTTCTAGTAATACCATCTCTGAACAGGTTGTTTAGAAAGCATCCCATGTCCATATTGCTATCATTCCTTTCATTCCATGACCTATCACTTTCCTCACAAACTGTTGTGTGGTACTGTGTCCAGCTATACCATATCACGAGCCTTGCTTTCACCAATCCTCTGTGTAATCTCTCAAAAATCTCCAGGATGTTAGGTATAAACTTTTTTCCTTTAACATGCCCATGTTGACTCTCCTGAATTAATCCACATTTTACCAAGTGCCTAGTAAATCTATCTGAAATAATTGTTTCCAGAAGGTTCTCCCCAGTGAGATTAAACTGAGTGGTCCGTAACTGCTGGGCATGTCTATACTACCTTTTATGAACAAGGATTTAGTGATTGCAGTTCTCCAGCCCCCTGACACCACTCGTGAACGTAGGGAAGACTGAAAACCTATTGCCGGTGTGTGTGTAAATGAATGAGTGAGCCTTTGTGTGTCTGAGAGTTCATGTGTGAGCCTGTCTGTGATCCTTCCCTGGGAATCGTGACTTGGGCCTAGTCTGTCTCTGTCCAGCTCTATTTCTTAAATGAAAAGGCAAAAGAATGTTTTACTGGTTAGCTCTGCCACTTGCCAATTTATTGTGGTAATCTTTGTTAATTATGCATTTTTATTGTTAGTTTATTGCTTTGAATTTTCTTTTGTTCAAGCAAATTGTGTTTCCTTCATACCTCAACTTTTATTTTGAAATTCATGTTTAATGTTGGTGCTGATCCAGATCCTTCAGAAATTTGCTCATTGACTGAAAAAGAATTGAAATGTGACCCATCATGCAAAAAGGCTGGACAGCCCTGCCGTAAACCAATTGACTTGTATTCAACAGTAGGACCTGATCCATCATTAAGCCATTGTCTTGGATTTAATCTCTAGTATCTAACATTCTTTAGATTTAAGTAACTGGTTGAAACAGTGGTGGATTTTTACCTTTTATTTAAATTAAATACAGTTGAATTCTAGAACCAAGCAATCAATCAGCAATCAAATCTTCACCAATGTTTTTCTCCATCTGAAGAAATTAATGTAACTTGGTCCTACTCTTCCTTGCTCTCTTTTCATTCTGGATTCCAACAGAACTTCTGATCCTAATTAGATCATTCCCAAATCCTCTGTACTGTGATTATCTTGAAACAGTTTCCCTTGCTTTGTCTTGGAAATTTTCTCTTGATCATCACATCTGCAGACAATAGTTACTTTTATCCTTTCAGCTTTTAGTCTCAATTATCCATCAGCATTTTTAGCCTTGCTATCTGTTTTGATATCAATTGAGCTGTCATGTTTATTTCATTACTAAAGCTGTCTACAAGATGTTTGAAGGTTAATTTTAACATTTGGCATAGATAATAAACTGACTTTGACGCTGTGCATGTAAAGGGTAGCTCACCCACAATGTAGGTTTCTTACTGGCATTGAAGGTGAAAACTGACCCTTTGGTCTTTGTTTCAATGACAAAGACATTTCATGCTCTTTCAATAGCTGATAGCTTCCTGAAGCCTTGCTCTATCTTCGGCATGGACAATGCTTCTGTATCTTAGAAGTCTTTTCTAACAGCTCTGTCACAAAATCCATTCAAGATACAAGAAAATTCTTCTATGTAGATAGAAAGTTTTTTTTCACTTCCAGTTTCTACTGCCTCTCCCTATCACATTCATTCTTCAGCATCTTTTTGTTACCAGTACTACTGTGGACATGGTCCTCTGAATTTTCTTCTCTTTCTTTATAAGCTCCTAATTCTATCCTGTACATTTCTCCACGTATTGTAAATGAGGATTAAAGTACTGCTCCCTTGTTTTCATCACCTCAAATCTTTTGACTTTCTCACCTCTAACCTTCCTCAATTCTCCTTCCTTACTCTGTGATTACTGTTTCCCTTACTGCTCACTTTTACTCTTCTCCTTCCTTACTCTGTGATTACTGTTTCCCTTACTGCTCATTTTTACTCTTCGCAGCTTTGCATAACTTTGATCCTACGTGTTGATGTTCATTTTTTAAATTCTGACATGTATATCCTTATGTTGGGAGGAAAGAATAATTGTGCTCTTGCTGCCATTCATTTTGTCTATCAGTATTTTGACTTCTTTCTGCTTTTAGGTTATTCTCACAATGTACATTACTCCTAGACTGAAGAGGAATACACACTGTATGTTTCTACATGTGCTCATCGGTCAGAAAGCAAGAAGAGTCTAGGAACATTGGTTTCTAATTTTTCTTCTTTCCAAAATTCTCGGCTGTTACCAAATGAACCAAAGATAAGAAACTCTGTACCTGAACCACCTCCATAAAGATCCATTTCATCCACCAAAATAACACCACGACAGCAGTGTATTAATCAACAGATGTACAACTCATCAGAGCCTCTTCAATAGCACCTCACAAAAATATATGACTTCTGCCTCCTAAAAAGACAGGTTAGCTGGGACGTAGGAACATCACCAAGCTTCTCACTAAGTTATTCACTCCTAACCTTGGTATACACCATTGATGCTTCTCCATCATTGAATCAAGGAACCTGAACTAGATTTCTATCAGCAGTATCAGAATATCACACAATGACTGCAGCATTTCAAGATTCAAGATCATTTTCTCCAGCAGCTTGGAATAAGTGCTGGTCTTGCCAATGATACCCATATCTTAAGAATGCATTTCCTATCCTTCTGTTGTGCCAACATATTAAAATATCCAATAAATTACCTTTCTTAGTAGTCCTAGCCTTACACTCAATTAATTAGTGTTTCTCTTGTTTTCTGCAGGCTATTTAGTTTTAAGGGATCTGGGATTTAAAGTAGAGAGATATGTTGCCTCTGAGATATGTGAAGACTCGATTGCAGTAGGAACTGTCCGGCATGAAGGAAAAATCACGTACGTGCATGACGTCAGGAACATCAGCAGGCAAAACGTAAGAGAAACACATATAATTGGGACATCAGGAGACAGAATAGTAAAGCTGATAATACAGTTGTGGCAAAGTCAGAATGGTTTATCTGTTGGGGTACCTTTTGATATTTGTACAAAAATTTCATGTGTAATATCATGTGGAGGGGTGGAGGAGGGGAACGGTCACAGCACAAACTATAACTGCATACAGTAAGGCCTGTAATGGTGAAATGTGGCAGTAAATAATAAATTATTCTGCATTTACCATTTCCATATTTTAAGAAGAAAGTTAAAGTTAATGTGACAGGTATCTTATATGGAATCGACTGTGCCTTTTCATTTCAGATTCTTGAGTGGGGCCCGTTTGATTTGGTGATTGGAGGAAGCCCATGCAATGATCTTTCTATTGTAAACCCTGCAAGAAAGGGTTTATATGGTAGGAATTATTTATTTGTTTTCAAGTAAGGCCAAACCAACACATTTATGATTCTTAAAGTCCTACCTATCAAAGTTTTGATGGCATTTATTTTGTGTTTATCCCTTATTTCTTTCATCCCTCCCTACAAATGTTAGCTCCATTCATTTACACAATCCTTCATCTTCCCAAGAATTGGAGTTGTCCACTTCATGTCATGAATATCTTCATTGGTTCCATGGTGGCCAGACATCACAGTTGAACCTGCCAAGTTTGAAAATGAATCTCTGTTAAGAAAGGAGTTTGATTTCAGATCTCCAAGTTAGGTCCAATGTTCTGCTGTCATAGCTTTTACCAGATGATTTTTGTTTTTGTTTTCTTTATTTCTGCACATTAACTACTGTTGTCTGACTGCTGACTAGGTCACTGTATGTTTATTCACCAATATATGTATTTCTAATGTGCTGACCATTTCTCACCTCCATCCAATTGATTGCTGTGAAACATAACATCCAGCAACCTGTCTTGTACAGATAGGAGGAAATATAGTAATGCAGTGGAGTGGACATGGAGCAATGAATAAAATACAAAGAAAGTTGTGAGATGCAAGATGAAAGCATAAAAATAATGTGAAAGTTTTTATAAATGTGTTCAGCAAAAGAGTGGCTTAGCATAATGTAAATCCACTAAATTAAATTTAAGCGATACAATGATGTATAATCAGGAATGGCAAACTTTTTAAATATTTTGGGCCAGACTTTCTTAGAGTCAGGTTCATGAAATCATAGAATCCCCTACAGTGCTGAAAAGAACCATTCGGCCCATCAGATGTGCAAAGAGCATGCAATCCAGACCCAACCCACACCCTAGCCCTATAACCCCACATTTCCCATGGCTAATCCAACCTAGCTTTATATCCCTGGACACTAAGAGGCAATTTAGCATGGCCAATCCACCTAAACTGTGCATCTTTGGACTGTGGGAGGAAAGCAGAATAGCAAAAACACACACAGACACAGGGAGAACATGAAAACTCCACACAGACAGTCACCCAAGGCTGGAATTGCACCCAGATCCCTGGCGCTGTGAGGCAGCAGTGCTAATGACAGTGGCACAGTCATGCCCAGGGTTGATGCTGGACAACTTTTAAAATGGGTGGTGTGACCCATAAGCAGGTGTTTTGCCTTCAGTTTTGTCAGGCGAAGGGGTTGTATTGTTGTTTTATTTTGAAATAGTACTCTATGTATAGTATTTACTTAAAGCTGCCATACAGGATAACAGCGGTGGATGGAGCTGTAAGGAAGAAACAGGAGAAAAGATGGCAGTGACTGTGCTAATAAAAACAGCAATTATTATATTCTGGTTTGTCGCTAACTGTTTCCAAGTCTTAAGATCCTCAAACTCACCCAAGAACCTTACAGAAATAGGTTGAGAATCTCACAGGCAGGAAACTCAAACTCAACAGGGCCATTCACCACACCACACTCTTAGAATTAACAGAGAGATTACAGAATACAAAAATATCCATGGAGTATGTGCAGATGGGGCTGGTGACATCAGCTGGTCATGACAGGCTTCAGGATTTGTGAGCACATGCTTTGCTTATGTCACCATGTTCCACACATAGTGACGTCAGTGCAGACTGCCCCACCTGCATAGACTGGTCATTAGTTTTTAAAAGCAATTTAAAAGTAAATGATGGAGTCAGTTTGATTATTTCAGATCCACTTTATTGTTATAAAAGGATGAATGCTATCAGATTACTGGAGAAGAAAATACATACAGCTTGTGGTGAAATTACACATTTGCACTCGATAAATGAACATAAAACATATTGACAGCTTGAGACTCTGTCCTTGGGTAGTGTTGTTGCACTACAACACTGTATTCCTGTGAGTGTGTGCTCATTGCTGTAACTGATGGAGGCATTCACAACAAACAGAACCCATAATTAAACACAGTTAACAATTCTAACTGGTACTCAGCTAACTCATTTAGTGTAGCTCCTTATGTAAAAGTGGAAATGTCCAACTGAAGCCATCTTAGTGGTAATGGGAACTTAGCTCAATAGCTTTCAGAATGTTGCACCCTGGAGCACATTGGAATAGAAATAGTGAGATAATTGGTTTTGTAATAGTGAACTATCTGTATTTTTGGTATTGTATTTGTGTCTTGTAAAAAGAAACAACAAGCATATTTTTAGAGAGTCTTTATTTAGACATTGGAATGAGGTTAGCCAGGTGGATCTCGCTGAGTGTGAGTTCCCTGATTGGGGCTGTTAACCTGGGCCAAACAGGGAGTCCTGGCTGACGTGTAAACAGGAGTCTTGGGGATTCTCCTCAGTCTAGGGACTGGCTCTGAGATAGCTGATCAGAGGCCATGTACTGTGCACATATAAATAATGGGTGACTTTGTGAAGGGATAACAGCCTCTGTGGAGTTATTTTACTGGCGACTAGAGAAATCAGTATGATCCTGAAGAAAATTTTCTCTCATCAGTTGTCTTTGAGTTGGGGTAAGCATTTCTGGCATAATGCCTTTATTCGGGAAGCTTGATGCGTTCAATCCTGTCATTGAAGACTGGACCCAGTATGTGGAAAGAATGCAATATTTTTTCCAGGCATATGACATTGAGGTAGGTGAAAAGCACCGACTAATTCTTCTGGCTGCTTGCGAACTCGCAGCATTTTCGGTTATTAGGAGCCTAACTTTCTCTGAGGCACCAGACACTAAAACACTTCAAGAGTTGATGGATTTAGTCAAGGAATTTTATAACCCCAAGCCTCCTCTAATTCTGAAATGCTATAGGTTTCATTTGGCACTTTGAGAACCAGGGGAAGTCCGTATCGGGATTTTTGATGAGGTTTGAGATGACTGGCAGTGGCATGTGCTTTTGGGTTAACTCTGAATGAAATGCTGAGAGACTGGTTTGTGGGCTTCATGATGTAAACATGCAAATGTGCCTACTAGATGAAGCCCAACTCGACTTCTAACAGGCACTACAAATGGCTTTGTCAACAGAAAATGCAGCAGGTGGAGCGTGTGAGCTACAGGGTATCCCAATGGAAGTGGACACTGTCACCTCTCCAACTGTGCTTGGGGAACATTATTTGAGTAAAGGCAATTGCATAGCCTCACTCAAGACAAGTATGGAGCAGAGGGACCCTAGGTCCGCCCACAGCAAAACCCCAAAACAAAGCAGAGCCTTGGCCAAATGGCGAGAATGTTCTTCAGGATCCAGGCTGGGAAGACATTATAGTTGTTGCCAATATGTGGACTCAAGACAGTAAACAAGTCCCACATGAGCCTGACTGGAGTAAGAAAACTCATAGGCCAGTATCTAGAAGAGTGCACACCCTGAAAAGTCTACCTACATGTGGTTTGGAACTGTTAAATTGTTTAGCAACATCCAAATCAGAACCAGTCAAAATAAACATCCATTAAATGGTCACCAGTTCTGTTGGAGTTCAGTGCCAGCACAGCTGTATCAGTGATTGCAGAACCAGTCAAGATTCGCTCTGGACTCCAACTCTTAAGTTTGCACAAAACGTCAGCCAGACTGAGAATGTGTATTGGGGAACCATTACAGATTAAGTGTCTGACTTTGATTCTGGTTCTAATGAGAAGCAGTTAGTGCAGTTACCACTGATGGTAGTAAAAGGCCTGGGCCCAAGCTTGATGGGACAGAATTTATTGAGAAAGATTCACCTTGATTGGCTCAACATTTTTCAATTAAAATATGGCTGCCTGAGTGCAGTCACAATCAAATACCTGGAGGTTTTTCCGGAAAGTCTAGGGACTATCAAAGGAGCCGAGGCCACCTTCCATGTTGACTAGGAAGCAACTCTGCAATTCTGCAAGGACCGTCCAATACCATTTGCCTTACATGTAAAAGCAGAGTCAGAAATCAGGAGACTGGAAATTGAAGGAATCATCAAACCAGTACAGTTTGCAGAATGAGCAGCACCAGTCGTACTGACTGTGAAGCCTAACAGGTTGGTTTGTGGGGATTTTAAGCAAATGGTAAATCTCTTCTAGCAGCTTAGTAAACACCTAATCCCTCACATAGAAGACTTGTATGCAAAACTGGCAGGAGGTCTGTCCTTCACGAAGCTGAACATGAACCACGTGTACCTGCAACTGCAACTAGATGACAAGTCCCAGAAGTATGCCACAATGAATAACCATAAGGGTTTATACCAAAATACGAGACTGCCATTTGGGGTATTGTCAGCCTGTGCCCTTTTCCAGCAGATGATGGAGAACATTTTACAAGGTTTACCCCAGGTGACGTGCTAATAACCGGGAAGACCAATAAAGAGCATTTAAGGTGCTTGGTCATAATACATAAACATTTTTCCAAGGTGGGGGTATGCCTTAAGATGGAAAGATGAGAGTTCCAGGCACTCCAAGTGACCTACATAGGCTACAGAGTTGACAAGACTGGGTTACACTCATTGAAAGATGAAGTGAGAGTGATCAAAGGTGCCCCAGCTCTCATGTCTGGACCAGAGTTTAGGTCGTTCCTTTGGTTGGTGAATAATTGTGGAAGATTCATATGTAACCTGGCCTCCACCTTGGCACCCTTACACCTGCTATTGAAATAAGGTCAGCCTTGGAAATGGTCACGTAGCTAAGAAGTAAGCTTTAGGGAAGTGAAAAAGCAGCTATCATCATCTAAGGTGTTGGCCCACTACGATCCCAACCAATGCAATGCCTCCTCATGCTATATCGGGGTAGTGTTTGCTCACTAGTGGCCCAGTGGAAAGGAGCACACTATATTTACAATTTATATAGATGATTTGGTTATTTACAATTTATATAGATGATTTGGAGTTGGGGACCATGTGTAGGGTGTCAAAGTTTGCAGATGATTCTAAGATCAGTGGCAGAGCAAAGTGTGCAGAGGACTGTGAAACTTTGCAGAGGAACATAGATACATTGAGTGAGTGGGCAAAGGTCTGGCAGATGGAATACAATGTAAATAAATGTGAAGTCATACATTTTGGTAGGAGTAATAGT